TTATTTAATATGAATTTTGTATAGAAAAATTGCTAAACCAAAAAAAAGAATCTGATATAACACAAAAACAATGTGACCACGATAGTATTCTTATTTGAGGGGTTGACAGGGGGTCCCTTATTCCAACTTCACTTCCCCTACATCTACTTTTCTTTACCCTTACTCCGAGACATAAATCGGAATATATCGGTAGAAAACTTTAGAATATTCGTATTTTATCTTTCCCTCTTCCCCCGGTTCGCGCCCCTTTGACCCCCGTTCCCCCTTGACTCCTACTTCCCGCAACCTCATCCCCGTGTTCCTTTACTTCAGTCCACCCTGTCTTATTTCCTGCCAATGATACCACAAAATGATATACAGTTGATTTGATGCAATATTAACGGATTATAAAAAATGTATTCTGTATTTTACGTCAGAGGTATCAAGGAAAGATTATAGATAAAATGTGCAAAACATGGAAGTGTCATAGAATTGTCATAGCATAAAACTAGTTCTACATTTGTTTGGAGCATCACAAAATAATATCGAGGTCAACTGTGAAGATGGTTATGTTTTAAAAGATGGTATTGACATATTTACGTTATTATGTCAAGTATGAATTATTATCTCTATTGTGTTTTATTTAACTTATTAATTTTAGGCTTCTCAATGATAAGCGGTGTATGCTATCTATAAAATGAAAGATTGTTCAAATACTAAGTCTTCCTTAAAATTTTGCTAAAAAATAAACTTATTCACCTCTTTCACATCTCTTCCGTTTGTCATAAAGTATTCACTAGTTTTGATGTTGTATACAAACTTATCAAAAGGGCTGATATATTAATCATCAACCTTAAGTTTATCATTTTAATGCAAAAAAAACTTTACAAATCAACAGCTCAGTAGTCCATTGATAATTTTATAATTTGCTGTAGAAACTAAGGTTCTAACTTCCTTAGGCAAAACTGAAATAAGATCAATTTGGCTATTATTTAAGTTCCCTTTTGGTCATTTAACGCGTTACGTGTTTCGGTATTTTTTTTCGGCTTAAAGTTTTCTTAAAAATGGTAAATTCAGAAATTTGTAATGCATACAATCTATAGTGTTATGTCATAAGTATGACAATGCTATGCCATGTGTAGTTCTTCATTACACATAGCCTAGGTGGCCGAGCGGTCTTAGTAGATCTTCTTTCTATCACTAGACCGAGCTTTTAGATCAAACCCCGCACGTGGCAGGTACCGATCTTAATTGACTAGGATAGCAAGTTTTTCCTGCCGATGAGCGATAGCTTTCTTCGAGCACTCTGGCTTTCTTGCCGCCATGACAAAGCTTAGAGTGCGGAAAGTAACACCAACAATCAATCAATCAATCAACCAATCTTTTCATTACACAGTGCAATTTAGTGAACAATGTGTATAATTTGGAGTTTAGTATGACGTCCATTATCACTGAACTAGTATACATATTTGTTTAGGGGCCAGCTGAAGGACGCCTCCGGGTGCAGGAGTTCCTCGCTGCATTGAAGACCCATTGGTGGCCTTGACACATTCCCCATTTCCATTCTCAATTTTATAAATGATCATCCTTGCAAAAGAAACAAGATGTTAGGTTCATTCCAGGCAAGGACGATATAAATTAGAAACAGCTGTTTGGCGTTTTGTTGTATTTTCCTGTTTTCCAATGGTTTGCAATTTCTCTTAGATCTATAAGCTTTAAATATCCCTTTAGAATCATCCGCCTCTTTTTTACAAGCGGACAAGAAAACATTCTGTTGAAATATAAATTAAAGGCAACAAAATTTAATCGATGTTAAGATCTCATCAATTCATTGAGAAGATACGAATCAAGGTTAAAAACCAAAAAAAACTGAGGGATGCAAATGAAACTGCAATAGGAGAGAGACGGGTGCGTTGACCTTGTATTCAATACTTTGATAATAACACTGATGGCGCCTAATTTAAACTTTGTGAGTCTCTGACATTCTTGAAGTGGTCTGTATAGATTTAGACGATATATAGTATCGTTTGTTATGTGACGTTATTAATTTTCAAATGGGGGTATCAAGCTTCGTATATAACCGAAAGTGGCCAGGATATATACTGACATCTGTATGCTGGTATGACTTTTGACGTGACTCGGTATTTATACCAGCCATCGGATTTTTGACTTTTTAACTTTGGTAATTCGTGGGGCAGGTTGGTCCAGAGGTGCGATTCGTACACAAAGGTTTTTTACAGTGTTGTTTCTATTTTACCGTTGTATTTCTATTAACTTATTTTTGACTTTGTCGAAAAAGTGTTTATGCTATATACGGTATGTTCTATCAACCACAAAACCTTTTTTGTTGACGTCATTGTCAAATTCTAAATTTACAATTTACAACACCTTTTTTGTTGGCGTCTTTATTAGATTGATTTGTATGGTTATGTTAAATTTTTAGTGAGTTGTTTTGTATGTCTGTGATGTATGTTTACACAGTTTAGGATGCTGGGTCCCATGTATTGTCACTTTAACCTTTTATGTCTGTTTAGGTTGTTCATCAAATTTGGTCAATATAACGGACCTATAGACAACTGTCATACCAGTGGGAGGTTTAGCTAGCTTTAAAACCAGGTTAAACCAACAATTTTATTGTGAAAATGTCTGTATCAAGTCAAGAGTATGGTATTTTGCTTGTCAGTAATTCTGTTGATTGATGGCATTCGATTTTTTTCAGTTTTTATAGACTTCCCTTTTCGATTTGCCTTGGAGTTCGATATTTTTTTCTTCTACTTTTATGGTATCAAATAAAGAAACTCGATACATTTTGTAATCTGTAATACTAACTAGTTTGAATATATTATATTATAATGAATACATGATTTTTTTTGTATATTATGTTATATTGTATTATAATACATATATCATATCAAATTATAATACATATATTACATTATATCATAAAACATATATTATATAAAATTATTTAGATTATATTATACTGTATGTTATTGTTGGCATGCTTTATAAGATCAATTACAAGAGACGATTTTATAAGTTTGCCTAATTGGCGTTAAATGATTTCATGAATAATAAAGAATATAAAACATACCTAAAAGAATTTAACATTCGCGCCAGAGAACAAATACGTAATGCTCCTCAAGAACAAACATATAAATAATTCATTTGTATAACAATTATTGAATTATAAACACATAATAGCTTATAAGCATGAAATTTAATAAAACATAATAGAACAAACTTACATTTAATATTAACATAAATATGCTATTGAATTTTAGAAATAAAAAAAAAAATAATGAAACATATCTTTCTAATTACACTGATTATATTTTATGAATACGGTATTGAATTTGAAGTTAAAATTACCAAAATACACAACATTTCACAATATATTAATCATCGTATGAAATACAAGTGACAGACATGTAACAAAAATAAGAATGTATTTTCATTAGGAAAACACGAAAACGAAAAAAACATAAAATTAACTTGAGAATACAACTTTTGTTGATGATTTATACCCCTTACGATAACAGCCTCTGATAAACGTAGTTATGAACATGATGCAAACCAATCTCGAAGGTGAAATCTTAAAACTCCATTTATAAACAGAAATATGAAAAACTGCATTAAACATAACTACATGACGTCAACAAACGCGAAAGAATTGAATATATACTGGAAACACTAGTGATCGTTTCAAGAAGATGCATCCTAGATTAATATGACCAAGATGAATGAATGCGCTGGCATGGCAGCAATGATTTTTAAAGAATTATAATGGGTGTTATAAAAGCACAATGCTCCATCGTCTGGTTATTTATATGTTCAGTTAACCGTGAAATTGGGAAAGACACACTCATTTATCATACAATTGAAAAGTTCACATCAAGATGGACATGTGTTTTAAGTTTCAAATTGATATTATTAAATATGGGTTAATAATCTTGGTAAACTATCTTTTCCATAACACTTTACGGGAACGGACAAACGGAATAACAGACATACCAAAAACCTCTAAAACCATATGTTGGACATAAAAAAGTAGTTTGTATCTATAAATGATGTTATTAGTTCTAATTTATGTCAGTCTTTGTTCTAAAAAAACAATTATAATTTGACTGTGAATGAATCACCTAGCGGAGACGATTACTCTACCGACGTACCAGGTCTCATCCCTTTTCAAGTTTATGCGATTCTTCATTTTTTTCTATTTCAAATTGTATCTTTTTTTTTTTAATCTAATAGATTTGAACATCGTTAAACTACTACTGCTTTTTATTTACCTTAACTGGATCGCAGGATGCTTTTGCCTCTAAGGCGACCAGCCGAATTGATTAAAAATGAAAATTGTCTTACTTTTTCATTAATGTAAACAAAAAAAAAGACAAATTAATTTAAAACGTTTAGAGAGCACAAAAAGCAGTGCATACAATAATAAAATCGAAAGAAAAAATTACCGCTAATTTACAAACAACGCTTCAATATCTAAAGATGTTTTGTTTTGTTTACTACTGGCTCCCTGATATGTATTTATGTATTATTTCATAGCGACACAACTTTGTAATTTGACCAGTATAAAGACAGTTGGATAGGATTAACATCAATTCTCAGGAAGACTCAAAGTAAAGGGATGGGTAGTACAGAATTTTAGTATAAATTAAACACCTAGAGGTTCGAAGCATAAAGATGTTGCAAATATGCCGCAAAATCCTATGTTTTGACCTTTGAAAAATGCCCCTATACAAAAAGGGTTATATCTACACCATTATTTTCTCCTTCAAATTATTGTCAAGGTCTTTGGTTTGTAACTGCATACCGTTAAACCTAACTGGTTTCAGTTTTATTGGTGTTGTCTTATGAAAAACATAACTAAGTATCGTTGCTAACACAAACATGTTATATAATAAAACAAATTAAGAGTACAGCTATCATGTGATGTCAGTAGTATCTTTTTATCATCATTTTAGTAGCTTTAAGCGACAAAAAGTCTTTAAATGCACGCCACACAATACCAGTGTGGTCATCAACAATTCCATAACGCCCGTTTAGATTTGAACTGTGACAATTAGCGTACCACCATGCACCAACGGAAGAAGTGGCGCAATTCCAGGACGCAATATCGTTATCTTTGTCCGAAGTAGAAAATTTCATCCCGTTATGGTAATCAAAACTATCCCCTAGATTAAAAAAGAAACAAAATTTTTATTTAAATGTCGGCAGTTGTTACTATTTATCATGTTAATGTAAGACATTTTTCTTCTTCATTATACACATTGCATTCAAGATAGCTAGATATAACTCGATCGATGCAAAACTTTTCAATCTTCAACACAAGATCCGAGTTAAAGAAAATGGGAGAACAAAAAATGTCTTATTCATTTTTTAAAAGAATATATCAATACTTGCTTTTAAACTTTAAGATGTTAACTTATAAACAATGTAATTTGTTTTGTAAGCATGACACGAAAAAGTTTTTGATTGATATGTTCGTAATAATAAACAATTTTACTGGGATATTCCAATACCTTAACTGTTACGTTGTTGACATGTTTGTTTCTAAAAGATGTAAGACAGACATGTGTTGTTGGTGTCGCATGTTGTAATGAAATTAATACGCAATGCATCGTGTGCTGGAAAAGGGCTTTTCTTCGTGTATTCTCAGGAAGGCTCAAACTTAAACATTTGATGTAATAATATGTAAAAACGTTAATAAGGAGCTACCAAAAAGGATATAATAGAATAACCAAATTACCTTTACTTGGGGGAATTGGCACCATCGTATTAATAAACTAACTTCTTATAGTGACCGTCAAAAATTTATAGTTTTGAGTCTTTCTTCGAAATAACTATAAGTTAATTTAAAACAAACAAATCCTTCATTACTTATTTCGTAATGTAAAGTAATGTAAAGTTGAAAACAATTATGCATTGTATAAACAACTGCATAATGATGCGAAAATACATTGAAATTACAATTGGTTCATTCATTGTTTTACGCTTTGTACATTCCTTTACATACCGGCATTTCCAGAATATCCACTGATATTTAGAATATAATCCGACTTGGAGTCATCGATATTAAATGTGCTATATTCAGCATATGCAGTTGATCCATCATAGGCCTCAAGTTCCACACGTAGTCTGTGTTGACCAGATGACGTTATAGAATGTAAATAATCATTCCCTAGTGAAAGACAAAAAAATTGATTTACCACATATTTTTTATGCAAATAATTTTATTTACATTTCAATACCGTTCAAGTACCAAATACATGAATTGTAAAGATGTCTCAAGTTTATACGAGTGTCTTATTAACAAAAGTAATACGATACTAGTATTCCCTTTATCATATGCTTAGACAGATGTTTTGTTTTCTGCTAGTGTTGTATAAAACTATATATGTATCGTATAGACAGATGTTTTGTTTTCTGCTAGTGTTGTATGAAACTATATATGTATCGTATAGACAGACGTTTTGTTTTCTGCTAGTGTTGTATGAAACTATATATGTATCGTATAGACAGATGTTTTGTTTTCTGCTAGTGTTGTATAAAACTATATATGTATCGTATAGACAGATGTTTTGTTTTCTGCTAGTGTTGTATAAAACTATATATGTATCGTATAGACAGATGTTTTGTTTTCTGCTAGTGTTGTATGAAACTATATATGTATCGTATAGACAGATGTTTTGTTTTCTGCTAGTGTTGTATGAAACTATATATGTATCGTATAGACAGATGTTTTGTTTTCTGCTAGTGTTGTATGAAACTATATATGTATCGTATAGACAGATGTTTTGTTTTCTGCTAGTGTTGTATAAAACTATATATGTATCGTATAGACAGATGTTTTGTTTTCTGCTAGTGTTGTATGAAACTATATATGTATCGTATAGACAGATGTTTTGTTTTCTGCTAGTGTTGTATGAAACTATATATGTATCGTATAGACAGATGTTTTGTTTTCTGCTAGTGTTGTATGAAACTATATATGTATCGTATAGACAGATGTTTTGTTTTCTGCTAGTGTTGTATGAAACTATATATGTATCGTATAGACAGATGTTTTGTTTTCTGCTAGTGTTGTATAAAACTATATATGTATCGTATAGACAGATGTTTTGTTTTCTGCTAGTGTTGTATAAAACTATATATGTACATGTATCGTATAAAAAAATCATCAAAGATATGACGCTTTTAATTGAGAACGTATAACATTATATGAATAACACATAGCTGAAATGGGTGATAGAGTAGATTGTTACCTAGATAAATCATTCAGGCGAAGCCAATGTTGACAATGTCTGTCGATGGGTAACAAGCTGGTCTATCACCATCTCAAATATGTGTTATTTAATTTATTATACTGAATGTTCTGTTATTACTGTCTATTAAATTTCAATTGAAAGTAATAATCTATGACGTCTTGTATATACCAACATTCTACATTTAATAAAGCACACACTTGATCAAGCGTCTCCGAGAAGGGTGATTGAGTATTGCAATGGGATAGAGTAAATTATCTCCCTCGTATCAACCAATTAAAATCTAGCATTTTGACATGAAGTATAATAAAACTAAGTACTCTCCATTCATTATTCTTGCTGAAGTGTGAAAAAAACTCCTAGTATCATAAGCATATCTTCAGATCCTTTCCTGTGTTTCACAGGTATTAGATTGCTTTATACTACTATTGCATAAACACTACTTGTTGTTTAGTTTTATTTCGTCCGTTATTATTTCTTTTTTAACAAATACTGAAGATAGTCATCCATTTACACAATTGACTACATTAACGTAAGAAGCAATCAACTGTCAAAATAATTTTTAAACTGCAACGTTTTAGACTTTTATTCTGTAAAATACATGCACTGTGGACTCACCATTCTTCGTGGGATACCAATTTTTGTGGATTTCGTAGGTAAAGGTGAACCACGAATTAAAATGTTTAATGTTTAACGAAGTTTACATTTTCCATAGTTTCGTATGCAACATTTTGAAAAACAACAAAATCATTTTTTCAACGAACATTTGATACCCACAGTGTGTTTGTATTTTATCACATATTTGCCAAAAGGAAATGCTACCATTTGAATGTTAATAGACTAGCGACACCAAATGTTTTTCATATGTTTTCAACGTTATGAAGAAAAAGAAAACAGCACGAATGTCATGCGTCCGAAGCGCTTTTCTGACCTACCTTCAACCGGATCGCTCACAGTTGAATATTTGAAAGCCAGGGATGTAAAAGAACAAAAATGCACGAAATAGTTTGAAAGTTAAATGACCAAAAAGGACCTAAAGATAATGGTCAAATCCATTGAAGGTCAACGTTGCTTGAGAGAGTTTTAACCTTAGTTTCTGAATAATTTCTAAACTTAAAAACGGATAATTTAATAAAGGTTCGTTATAAATCGTGTAAGTATCGAATAACTGATTACTCTGTTTATGCAATTGATGATTAAATGGTTTTGTTTACCTGCCAGATTAAAAGTGTTTTATTATATAAGTTTTACATGTTTTACTGGGTCTGAGCACTCTTTGACATTTTTTTTTTATTTTAAATTCTTGTCCTGCCTCGACGAAATCAAAAGAAAAGACTTATAATAAGCTTTCTACGTCCGACGGCGACGGCGGCAACGATGTATTTGTTTGTGATTCGGTCGATTTAAGAAGAAAAAAAAACATTAGTAGTAGGCCAATGGTATTAGGTATGCAGTTGTTTTATAATTAACGCATCTCATTTTTATGGAGATAATTTGGCCTAACCCCACAGTCATGGTCTATTGAATTTGAAACGTTTGCTTATGAAAATAAGGAGATGTGGTATTATTACCAATGAGACAACTATCAATCAAAGTTAAAATGAAGTGAATGTAAGCAATTGTAAGACAACCGTACGGCCTTCAGCAATGATTAAACCAATACCGTATAGTCGGCTATAGAAGGCCCCGACATGACAAATATAAAACAATTTAACTGACAAAAACTAACAGCCCAATTTATAACAAAACAATTTGCGAAAAACAGCTATGTCAGACATGAACCAACGACAACCACTGAAGTACAAACTTCTGCCTTGGGACACACGCATACATAATGTGGCAAGGTTAAACTAGTTTGCTGGCGCCAAACCCTTCTCTAACCTGGGACAGTGGTGTAACAGTACAACATAAGAACAAACTATAAAAACTCATCAGGTCGATATGAATAAAAAACATCTAACAAAAAAACGAAAAACAAAAAGCAAAACATACCGGAAGCGGTTTACCTTAGTTTACATTTAACATTTTTAAGATTGAGATTAGATAAGTGTCAGGAAACCACTAGTGGTAGGTCAATAATATTTGGTATGGAATTGTATTAGGACTTGTATGTTTCTTTTCCATGAATGTTATATTGCCCTGCAAGTTCAGTTATGTTTCATGTATATATAACGTTTTGCATAGTTAACATTTAAAAGTATTGCCATTTTTATGGCAAAATGTTCATTATACTCTCAAAATTACATAAAGACAAGCATATCTCTGTGTCAACAGTTGACTTCAGCGTAAATCTATAATGCAACATCTCCATAAGATTTTGGCTAAAAATAGCAATCTGCTTTTACAATTCATCCTGTCACTACTTACAATTGTCTTAGTTGGAGTTGTTTCTGTTTCCCTGATATCGATGTATACATGATTATTCGTTAAATTTTCAGAATGTTGTGGTTAATTTTATTTAAAATAATTTATGATACGATTAATCTCGCTTTGATCATTTAGTTAGGGATAACGGTATGTTACTTTTTAAAGGCAAGGAGACAATACGTTGTTTTTATTAAGGGTCCGTTGGTGCATTAAGTGTTATTGTAAAGTCATGTTCTAATTTAAAACATTCAATTGCCAAAAATTATTCTCTCAAACCTAAATAAACCGATAAATGTCAAGATCTTTTTTATATATTTGAACCGCAATATTTGTTCATTTGCGCATACGCACCTCTTCCAATTTCCAATAGGAAATACTGCCCCTTTACAATGAGTATAACACATAAAATCTACATAATTAGACTTTTTTTCTGAATATTTAAAATTTTGAGATTCATGGCTAGTTTGAATTTAAACCTGGCTCGTGGAAAAGTGTGTTCGATCCCAATCTTAATTGAAAGAATTTCCGGATTTTCTAGGCTTCACCCACCAACAACTTCTGGCCGCTATAGCGTAGTAAAGTGTGGAGATAGTTGCGTTTAAAACATTCAAACATCAACCATTAACGAATCAATCAATCAATCAATCATCCTTTAGTAAATACAGAATATGTATATAATTTGATATTGTACTCTTGTGACACTCTTACAGCACTTCAACATACCTTACTTTCTAAAAATAAATAAATTAATTAATTAATTTATATACGGGTTGAATGTTGTTTCTCATTTCACTTTTATCAAATATGTTCAAAACATACCAAGCCAGAATTCCTCGTTCAGATCTCCAAAACCTGTTTTATACGCATTCCAATCTGTAAAGAAGTTGTGCGTTCCGTCAATTCTCTGTTGGAACACCTGCAGTAATTTAGATATTTTCAAGTAGTTTAATTAAGTTATAAGTACAATAAGTTTGATATGACGATATCAATTTCAAATCATAACTCCACATGTAGTGTGCTGTGGAAACACGACGATAATAATTATGTTATGATTAATATAATGTTAATGACATTCACAATGAGTTTCAATCACTACTGATATTATTGACAACCTATATCTACAGAACACGATAAATATGTTATCATTTGTCATTCATTGAACATGTTGAAATAAAGAAATGTTTACGCGATTGGAATGACAAGATTCATTATTTCTGTTAATGTTTATTTATTCACTTCCTTTTAGATAATTAAAAAAGTGGGAGTTAAGGGACTATTTTATGTATTGCATAACATGGATAAAACAAGAAGATTCTGGATATGTGACAAAATGTCAAAAACAAGAGTTGCTAACATCCTTAAATATAAATCGAATCAAGTATATTTTTTTTTTCTTATCACTCACGGTCCATCCTCCACACATCGTATCCATGTCACAATAGACATCGAATTCAACTAATGCTGCTGGATATATTCTGTATACCCCTGATACGGATAGAGGATCAAGAGCACTACAATCTCTTGGAAAAGCAGCTGTGATAAAAAAAATAATTAATTAATAAAGGGATTACCAGTATTCAACGTGAATTAAGAGTAAAATATTGTGATCAGGTGAATGCTTATGCAACACAAGACATAGTTAAAGTAAAACACGCATTTACTTATGCGGATATTGAACTGTGTGGTATCATTAGGGGAAGGGGACAATAACCATATTCAAATAGTAAATGAAATAGCTATAAATGTAAATTTACGCTTTTCAAAGATGAAATGCTGAACTACATCATGTACATTGTTGTAGAACACAGTTTCACAAAAAATGGTACCCTGATTAAGGCGCTTTATAAAAAAAACAGATGAAAGTGGAGTTCGTATAACAATTGTAGGAGCTCAAACAGTTCGAGTCAAATTACGTGAATTTCTACGTTGTCACAAATCCAGCAAACCCCTTGTTCTGGGGACACCAAGCGCAAATTAATCAAATGTCGCTGACGGCAATATCTACAGAGAAAAGATATTAAACAAAGCAAGCAAGGTTACCCTGATGAATCAGACATTTTTTTTAGTTTTACTTAAACAAAAACTGCAGTTTTTGAATAATTATAACAGCTTATTTTTCAATATTAGCCTACAGTTCTTCCATATGAATTGCTATTTTTGTATTGTTATTCTTTAAGATAGACAATTTGAAATTTGCTCACTTATAGAGTTTAATGATTGTTAGAATTGGCTAATGACTCGTAAAACTTAAAGTTAATCTAAAACGGAAGTGTTGAAAGTGATTGTTTATGGTGTTTCGTTTACATTAAATCAACGAGTCATAGCGATGTTAAAATGTAAATCAAATCTTATACGTTAAAATAAATACTAAATAAAGAATGTCTACCCTAATCATAACTTTGAATGCAAACTGCTCACGTGATAAAAAGAAACGTAATTTAGTTTCCACCTTTTTTAGTTTACAAACATATGCTTTAATTTGTCTACATGAAAAAAATGAACAGTTAATGATATATTACAGTGGTAAAATGAATGGAAGATGGGTGTCTCTATTTTACAAAAAAAAAAAAATTGTCCCGGCGATGTTGTGTTTGATTATCCTAACTCGTAAAACGGTCGAATAATAAAATGCAACAATAACGCTAAAAGGGCGAACTATCATATATCAAATGTATCTGGCAACAATAACGGTATTGAGAGAAAACGGCTTTTTGAATCGTTTAATACTAATATTTGTTTGGTAATTTTACCAATGATATTGTAGATCATAACAATATTTTGGTTGGGAATTTAAACTGTACACTTGACAAAAACATGTTAGAAACCAATTTTGTCGTGATGATATTGGTTCAGAAGAATTCCGTTTTTATTATGACAAGTTAACAACAAAGAGTGAAGAATTTAAGAATGCTTTCAAAATTAGGTAGATAACTTGGAAAATGAAAAATAGGTTTGAAAAAATTCAAGATTGGTTGAATTTCACAAAATAAACAATGGAAGTAATTAAAACCTTAATCAGATATAGTGAAAAATGTTATATTTGTAACCTTGAACAAAAATTAGAGAGGCTCAAATTAAATAGCATCACGTCTGGGGACGAAAATCAGATGTCACTAATTAAACTATATGAGATCAAATCAAAGGTTAAAAAAAAGACCGCGTGTCAAATGGGCGGAAGAAAGGGAAAATCGTCAAACTAAATTTTCCATCTCGAACAGTAAAACCGTAAAATTGAATTATGGAGTAGAATGAAAACAGAAACTAGCAATTTTAAATACATTATAGACGAAATACTCAATAAACCAGTTCAGTTTTTTTTTCGAATTAATTCAGCTCTGGGGGATGGCATTTTGAAGAGCTCAAGATTTAACAAGCCACATAAAAAACATAAAAAACCAAAAAAAATTTACATGGTGATATTACCGCAAAGGAAATAAAGAAAGTTTGAACAATTATACAAAAACAAATAATTATGCTCTGGGCGGGGTCATTTCCATTTTTTGTTTTTAAAATTTTCTGGAATATTTTATAAAAAGAATTTTGTACGTAATTGCAAGAAATATTAAATAAAAAAAATTGTAAGAATCACTATGTGAGAAAGTTTTAACATTACTTTTTAAGGGCGGGAAAAGCGAAAACATACAAAACTGGCTCCCGTTTACACTGCTGCATTCGCATTACAAAATTATAGTACAAATACAAGCAGAAAGATTAAAATAGTCCTTCTAAAATCCCCTACAAAAGGGTTTGTAAAATGCAGACATATAACTGAATCACATAGGTTGATACAGACTATTAAAGAATATATTAATAATGTAGATATTGTCTTTTTAGACCAACAAAAAGCCTTTGACAGGATTGAATGCAGATACAACATTATATTATTGATTATAACATTGGACATCAATATTAGAAAAGGTACAACATAGTGTACATATCTGGAATGTGGAAAATTGATATAATCTGGAAAAATCCCAATTGTTAAAAATGTGATAATGTCCGTGTGTGATTATGAGTTCGAAATAATAGATTTACCTGAAATAATAAAAAAAAAAAAAGATTTTAATAAGATAAAATGGAAATTTATTTTGGATGGTAAAGTAAATCAAGTAGACCGAAAGATTTTTTGTTTGGGTGTTAAAAAGGGGGAATGGGGAAGGTAAATTTCGATAGTTGGATAGAAAAGAGATAATACAAACTCGTTATATTCGATATTACACAAGCCATTATCTAGTTAAAAGGTACATTTTGGTACACAAATATGATAAGAAATTTGCCGATAAACTTGTTCTTTGTAGGTGTTCTGACCTTTCAGGATTTGATATCAAACCCTACCACATTATCATAAAAGCTCTTTACAATCTTGGTCAAAATTGACAGGCTACGTTAAACAAAATAGATGTGAGAAACTGCTAGTATTTGTAAAATGAAATATTTAATCTGAGGGCAAATACTTATGTTCTTTTTTTTTTTTTAAGTCAAATAAAAACTATTGGTGATATTTGGGACAATTTATCAGAGAATTTAAATCATGCAATAAAATATACCAACAACCAAAAAAAAACGTAAATGTATTTTCTGAAATATCACGAATGAACTATTGCATACCACAATCACTCCTGTAAATTTAAAAACAAACCTACGCTGTTCAATGCACTTTGAAAAATCTAAATTTCTGAGAACTTGAATTTTAAATCCAGATAACAAAATCATTAAGATTAAAGATTCAACATTAAAACATCTCTGAGTATCTAAACAGAACCTAGATCCCTAAGTGTCAAACAAATTTGGGGAAATTTGTATAGCGAGCATATACATTTGGAAAACATTCGATTAAATCTCAGTAGAACATATATTAAAAGAAAAGTTAAAGAATTTTAATGGCTAAACATAGGATAGAAAATACCGAAAACAGACTTCAACACATGTCAAACGAAAAATGTCGATGATAAAACATTTGAGCATTTACGTTATCAATGCAACAATGGTAAACCATTGACAGAAACAGCTATCAGAAACTTTGCAACTTAAAAAATAACGAGACATTTGTTGAAAAAGATTTTCTATTAGAAACCTACAAAGATAATCCATATAATATAATTGTTGACGCAATAGTATTTTATTTCAAATGGTTTAAATGGAAATACGTAATAAATATAAATTCGATAAAATCAAACTGAATGTGCAGTCTGTACAGATTTTCTGCAATTGCGCATGAAGAACAAATTAAAACTGCTCTTGTTACGATAGAATGTAAAGCATATGTGCAGAGCGAAAGCTTAACTCTTTATCGAACAAATATAAGAAAAGATAATGAGTTACACTGCTCTAAGCCAAAAGGTGTGTTCGATTTCATATGTTATTATCTTAACTTATTTTATCTTAGAATAAACTTGTAAAAAAATATTTAGATATTTTTGGCAGAAAGAAAACTCCAAATATTTTTAACTGTGATCGATATCTGAATTTATGTCTGTGCATATATACTGTATTAAGTATATTAGAAAATTACCACATCTATCATGCTTCATACTACTTTAGTACTTACCACACGTTCTTAACTTTTTTTAAATCCATACAAGGGTAAATTCTAGATTTAATATCTATATATACTTTGTCAATCACATCTCAATAATTTTCAATTCATATTATGAATATTATTTGTATCAATCACATATATAATTGTCAATGTTAACACAATAAATGGTAGTCAGAGAACCGTTTATTTTTTCGATAATGATTATGCATTGCGATGATGCTTATCAGGTAAAAAAAACAATTTTACTGGTTATTGGGATATCAAACTCATTTGATATATTCCCTAGTCAAGTGAGGCTGTTAAAAATACAGGGTCCCTAAGTATGCAACCTGGTCTACTTAGGTATTTATATATCAGGAATTTCTTGAATAAAAAAAGTTGCTTTCGTTAAAAAAGAGTGTAAAATAACACATGCATAAACATATAAACAAAATGTCAATATATATATATGTATTTTGAATATTCCTGCTGTATACCATAGGTGCTGAATTTGACTTTTCCTGCAAGTGCAAAATGACTCAGTGTATCCGAAGATGAATAACCTTTATAAACTACTTTGTAGTGACTTCAAACGGTTCAGTTATTGCTCTTCACTCATGCTTAGTGCAAATTTAAACTTCAATGGTATAACTTGTAGAACAACCTCTCAAAATCTACTTATTGCATATTGTTCTGCATGTTTTACGTTTACAATCAGATTTGAACAAAGAAAAACCAATAAATCACTAGTATTCGATTCCAAAGAAATAACATAGTACACTGGTTTTGAAATCAATTTTCAGGATAGAAGGGATTAATGCTTAAAACTGACTACTTAAGCCACATAACAAAATTATGTCTATGAGCTAATAGACAAAACACTTTCAGCCAATCAAAAGACTTATTACATCCAAAATTAAATTTTATAATAATATTGCGTTATCTGTAATAAGAGATATTTGTTAAATTGTTAAATACGTATGTTTGTAATTGTATTAAAACATTATTCATATGAAGTCCAAAAGGCAAATTGGAATACCTAAAAAAAGATATTTATGCTAGCACTAAATCAAAACTCATTGTATTGTATACACATAAGAAGATGTTATATGTATTAAAATTAAGATATGGTATGATTGCCAATGACACAACTATCTTCCGAAGTCCAACCACTAAACGTCAGGCTCCAGCTGACTTGGGACAGGCACATACAGAACATGGCGGGGTAAAACATGTTTGTGTGTGCTCAAACTCTCCTCTATTATGGGACAGTGGTGTAACAGTACGACATGAGAACAAACTGTAAAAATCAGTTGAAAAGGGCTTAACTCATCAGATTGATAGAAAGCATAAAACGTCTATCGAAAACACAGACTGCTAATGATATAACTACCCACCAAAGACGAACGAACAAGGGCTAATCCGATGTGAACAACGTTTACTTGTAAAAATGGTCAACGAACGAAATTTTGGAGTTTGGAATTAAATTAGAAGGACTGTTTTTAAATGATCACCAGCACAAATAAGTTAACCGATACGATCGATGTGTCTGTGTTTCAACTCACAAGCGACATGTTTACCGGTCTTTTATCTTTAGATATCAGTATAGTCGTTTTATTATCTTAAAAGCTAGTTCCATTCGTGATTTTGATATTTAACTGAGTGTAGATTCGCACGGCAGATGTTGCACGCATAGCAGGGGATGTTTACTCTGTCGACTCACCGGGTTTCGCTTCTTTTGAAGTTAACGCGATCCTCCATTTTTTTATTTTTTTTTATCTTGCTTTGTCTTCTCTTAATCAATTGAGAAGATTTAATGCATCAGTTAACTGCTATCACCTTAATTAACCGTATAAAACATATATTGATATTAAGTCATAGCTTGTTTTACTCAAATCTTCCGTGTCTTTGATTTGTAAAAAGCATGTTATTTCGTATATTTCGTTTATCCTATTCTGTTAATTGAGTAGTCCATAAGATGTTCGGCCATATGTATTAGCTTTTTCTCATTTTTGTCTGATTTTGATAAGATCATCAACTGCGATCCCAAAATTTGGAACTGTAAGGCAAACCTCCCAGTCTTTAAACCACAAACCATACCATAAAGGAAAACACGTTGTTTAATGTACGTTTGGGAGTTTCCATTCTGTTCATGTCATGACAGTATATAGGATTAACAACCTTGACATTAAATGTTTTCGTCTGCTTTTAATTTACGTAAGTAATAAACTTTTCATAATTGCTTTAAATATCTTAATAGTAATATTCCAAAGGGATCATATTTTCATTTAAGTGAATCGAGATTATAGCCTTGTTATTCTTTAGTCTGATGATTTTAAAGATTTTTTGGGGTTGTTTTGTCATCATGATTGTGTGAAATATCAAGGACGAGAAGCAATTAGTAGGTAAATAACTACAAACACTTGCATATAGACCAAATGAATTAGATAATTATGTTAAGATTTTGACTAAGCTAAATATGTTTGTAAGCCCTCTACCGTTACCATTACTTGGAACAGCAGTGTAACAATACAACAATAGACTTATTAAAAAAAAAGTTGAATTTGGACTTAAATCATCAGATGGAGCCATAAACAAATATGTGTGTTTACGGTCAACCGAACGACCCTAACTTTTTTATCGGCAATTTTCTGAAATTCCGGAAATTCCCGCCTTTTCCGTCACCGTTATTGGTATTTATCGTATTAAACAACAAGGCAATTGTTTAACAATTCAAGAACTTTCATTGATGAATTCAATTGATATCACGATAGTGACGATTTTCTTTTGAAAAGCAATGATTCATGTAAAGTAAAGTCTCCAAATAATTTTGAGGTTAATCCTACATTGTCGTAGAAATAGTGACATTGTTCAGTGTTAGACAATTTACTTTTATCTCTCTCAAAGAACCTAATGAAACTAATATTTTAATAATTCCTGAGGTTTTGAAAATTCTCGATTTTACAAACGTAAAATTTAGAGTATATATTGCATAGCAAGTTCCGAAATAAATCATGGTATGCATGTTCAATGGCATCTTGTTGGTTCGGAAATATACATGTATATGTCAGCTCTTTTGTGTAATTGCCTGTAGTATTCGAAACAGTCTTTTGTTTGTCTGTATGTAGGCAATTGGTTGTGTCAAGAAACAACAATTGAATCCCAACCCGTAAAAAAATCGACCTACCGAACCTTTTTTTTCAGCATGTGACAGTAAACTCACATATTTTATTTTTGGCCTCGGTACTTTAATAAAATGCCAAAAACACAAAATCAGGATCTAGCAGGACATTCAGTTTTTCTGAAACTTATTTTAAACTAAGTGTAAAAAGTAGCCATACAAACCTCGATGAAAACTTGAAACATACTGTGCAATTAAAGATCTCTTTTAGCTATTGATTTAAATAAGAAAATAGGAATTTATCATGGAAAATCTACTAATAAACGTATTTACCAGTATTGTTGACGTATCTTTTAAATTCTTCAAAAAGATGGGATTTGCATGACATTTCATTTAAATTAGATCTATGTAGGCTAAACAATTTATTACTAAAGAAACCAAGTTAAAAGGTTAGCCTAATTTTATAATATTTCTGGTAGATGTTTATGGAAGTATGATTCTATTTGCAGGAACTTATAAATATTGATAGTAACAGCTATTTCTATCAATATCATTCATCATGTAACATGTGTAATCCAGAAAAATAAACACCATTTTCCTTTTAATCTATCTTCTCGAATTCATGAACATATTGGTACATATTAAAAAGCTGCTGATGTTTTAAGGCTAGTGAATGGCTGTCGAATCAAAGTTATTACAGTTTGAAATTATCAAATGTTTCAGTTATTTGCTTTTAAGGATTAAGGTTGTGGCCATTAAACAAAATTGTGCTTTACTGTCAGCTTTGTCTTCTTTATCTGTAGTACCGATTTTGATACTTAACTTAAGATCTTCTTTTGGACTAGTTTTTGTAGTATCTTTGCACATCTGGTTATGCCAAATGAATTATGTTTAAATATTATGCTTATTTGTGTCATAAATGGGCACTAGCTACGAGATATAACAAAAAACAAATATGATTGTTGTTTGTTCAATCAATAATGAAAGTGAAAGAGTGAAATAATAATTCGCTATAAGCAGTCAGTTTGGTTCCAGTTTGTCAAAATAAGCTAAGAACCATCACTGATGAATTATTCGCTTGCAAGTGGATAATTCGACCTTAATGAATCAATATTTTAACTATTATTTAGAGATTGGTTGCGCATTAACTAGGCGTGTTCAGCTATGTAACTTAAAAGAAAGTCAACATCGAAATTTAACCATGTGGGTGATTGATTTGATCCACACAAATTATCTTACAGGCACAAACGATGATTAACATATTGTTTTAACCTATAGTTTGAAATCAAAAAGACCTTTTAAAATCCAACGGCAAATGTTTGATAGCTTTTCATATCTATACTTATGTTTATATCGGGTAACATGACCGTCGGCAGTCTTCGGAGGTCACCCCAATAAGTAACTAGATGGCGTCTAGACTATAATGCACATGTAATGCTAGTAAATATTATTAAGTCCATGCCACGTAAATTGTTCATTTTAAACTATTTTTTGTAATTTGCACATACGTTTAAATATGTAAATAATCAAATATATTATCTTGAGTCAAATAAAGGCAACAGTAGTAAACCGCTGTTCGAAACTCATAAATCGAAAGAGATCAAAACCAATCCGGGTTACAAACTAAAACTGAGGGAAACGCATCAAATATAAGAGGAGAACAACGACACAACAAAAACACAACATTAAAATGTAACACACACAGAAACGAACTATAATATAACAATGGCCATCAAATCAACGAACATAAATATGACAACTAATGTCCCTTTAACCAAAGAACATCGTCAATAATAATGATTGGTGTATTTAGTTGTATCTATTTGTTTACTTGGTAAATAAATGTCCATAAACAAGTAAAATATATACAAAAGTCAATAACTGCTATACATAAATTTTACCTGCTGATACATTTAGAAATGAAGCTGAACTGTAACCCGTTCCAGCAATATTTGATGCAACACATGTATAAGATGATACATCAAGTCCCTCAGCGTTGAATATTGTAAGGGACGGTGTATTTACGGTACTACCACTGTACTTAGCAGACGAAGATGTTGTTGTAGATGAGATGATTTTTATTTGACACTCGTCCCATTTCTGCCAGTAAACTTCGGTTATTGAAGCAGAGGTCGTTGTGTTCACCGAACAGTCCAAAGTCACAGTACTGCCAAAGGTAGCATTATATAGCAGTTGGTGAACATGAACATTAGGGATACCTAAAATTGATTAACACACACTATTTTACAGTCATATCATCCATGTTTCGAAGGCTTTTGTTTCTGGGTTGTGTTTTGTATACTGTTTACCTTTTGGTCGTTTTCCATTTTTGCCAGAACATTGTCAGTTTGCTTTCAGTTTATAATTTTGAGGAACTTATTGAACCAATGCATGTATACACTCATAACTTAGTGATTTCACATTTTCCATTGACTTCTAATCCATATCTTATAGGTGACAAAAAAAAAGTCATTCGTAGATTGTTGATCGAAAGCAATGGGAGATGATAAACTTTCCTGTTTTGGCGCCATAATTTGTACGCCATGACTTCAATAAATAAACACTACAAATGCATGAATAATTAGTTGAGCCACAGGTATAATGAATGAGGAAACACAGTGATATGTATTGTTTGTATTAGGTTGTATTTTTCATGCGTTCCAATATTAAGTGATGTAACCTTGTCATCACAAATGATATTTTATTTGTTTTTTTAATGATTTATGTTCAGAATCGATTAATAATATCTTCCTTCCACGCTCATTTTCTTCGATAAAGGTTTTGCCTTTTGCACTTAAGTGATACAAGTCACTGCATACAAACCAAATGTCGGTGAATAAGGGAACGAGAAGACAATAGTGGAACAACAGTAAATTTCTTAATGATTTGGATACAATAAAGAATTTTCTCTAAAAATAAAGATTGCGCACACGTGTTGTATGTTACAAATCAACCATTTAGTTTGATAACAGACATATTTATTTTGTTTTGTTTTGATTTTGTTGGGGGCAGGAGAAGAGTAATTAAGAAAGATGTCTGAATTTAATTATTTAATAAATCGTGGATATACGTCATTTATGAATCTTCTTATGCATTTAGAAATTTACGTTTTTTATGAATGCATATTTGAAATCTACAATGCGTTAAGAACTCACTGATCAATACATAATATCAAAAACTGATCAATGGAATATTAATACTTCGGGAGATACCTTAGGTACGCGGAAACAAGTAACTTCACTGCCATTTATACAAAATAGCCTGACGTATTTGCTGATCAAGATGCTTGTTCTGAACGCTTCCGATTAAAAAATGATTGTTACTGGCATCCACATAAAAGCAAGACATGGTGCGACTCTGACATGAAAAACAAAAGTCAAGCTTTCTGTTATATTTGATTTTAGATAATTATCAAATCCGTTTGAATTGTTTCATATTAAGCCATTACTGGAACTTGTATGGCGTACTAGATAGTATGTGTTTTGTGCATTGTTGATCACCGTCTAATGGTCTGTAGTTGTTGCTTTAATCGATTTAATTTGGCCTCTACTGGATAGTTTCCTCAATGGCAATTATACAACATCTCCTTATGTTAGATCAGTAAACAAGTTCACAATCGGGAAAGTAAAACAATCGCTGAAATTACAGACGACTATTACTGTATTATTAGATTGAAAGACTGCACACACGTTTCAGTAGCAATGAGAAACAGGCAGAATGTGATTGTGCCTGTAGAAAAGCATCTTAGATTGGTAGTGCACGTAATTGCATACATCACAAGATATCACACAAAAAGGCAGACCATATGATTCAACAGGGTAGTCATCTCTTATTATTCATTGTCAAAGGAAATGATGACAAGACAAGATACTCTCGGTTTTATAAGTCAATTCTTTGAGCTCGTTTTAAGACATCGTGGAAATCAACTTGAGATTGTTGGAAAACTATTTTTTTGAGGTATCATGAAATGTTCTCTAATTGAAATTGATCAACTGACCCATTGACTTCAATCGCTTAACGACTTCACTACTATAACATTAATTTTTGTCTTTATAGTAATCGGTAATTTTTGGTAGGAACATGTATTCTATATGTTCACTTTCGAAGTTCTGTGTTATAAATCAGTTCAGTTCTGTGAACACGAATACGAGATAACAGAAATTGAATTGATAGTGTTGTTAAACTAGTTATTTTGGAGAAGATTTATGTTCTCTTATATCTAATGTTGACCTGACCTGTTTAATTCAATCCCAAATATCGTAAACTAAATTTTAGAGGAAATTTTACTCACTGTGTATAACAAGAGTAATGATGTCGCTACCTCTTGTGCCAACTTTATTGGAAGCAGAACACATGTAAGTTCCTGTATCATTCTGTGTTACGTTTAATATGATTAGAGATGGTGATTCAACATTCCCGCCACTATATAAGCTAGCACTGTCGTCTGGATCAATCGTCGATACAGTACCACTAACGTTTTTCTTCCAAGTGACGTCTGTGAGAGGTAGTTGAGATGTCACTATACAAACCAAAGTAACAGACTGTCCAGTTATTCCATCATAGGATGACTGTGGAATGTGTACATTTGGAGGAACTGTTGAATATAATTTTATAAAGCATAAAAAAATCAAACAAAAAGGGTCGATCTAATTATAAAACATCTTAAACTACAAATTTATATCTCTGTGATTAGTGTAATATTTCCTACATGTTTTGAAAACATTGTAAACCAGTGACTTCTAATAGTATAATCACACACCTTTGTTCAATTAAATAAATTGTTTGCCGCAACTAGACAATTTTTCCAACAATTAAAAAGAACAGTTTGCTGTTTAGATACAGTCGGGAATCTAGTGACTAAAAATCACTTCCATTTTGAACGTTTCTGATTTAGAAAAAAATGGTTCCAACACTATAATGAAGACGTTACTATTTTTTTTCTGAATTCGTCATTTTGGACTGTCTTTAAGTTGTAGATTCGGTCCATGGCAATCAATACCAAGCCAACGAATACTTCGCGACAGTACAACATGTAGAGATTTGAATGTGCTTGTGAATTAATTGTTAAATTCTTAATCCATATTATTGATTCGTTCTATTATTTTGATATCAGTGTATAATAGATAAACATATTTAATGGTTGAAACATCAATATTACTTAAAATATATTTTTGGTAGCAGACAACAATGTCCATGCAAACGATTCTTTGTTTCTTTGTTTACTTTTTGTATTCAATGTGTGTCAACATGGTAGTCCTATTTTGGTTTTCATCAAAAGTTAAGAACAGCAACATCCAAACGAATCAAAGCCATGGTCATTGGGAAAAAAAATCAGTAATAATGGTACGACAAGATAATGGGTGTTTTGCGATTGGTAATATGCCAAATACTTCACTAAAAAGAAACAGTACTTTTATCGCTATATTTATCGGTAATTTTAGGTAGAAAAATATATTCCATAGGTTCAGTCGAAATTTTGTGTTATAAGTCAGTTCTTTGAACTCGTTCATGACATCGTGGAAATCGAATAGAGTTTGTTATTTAGTTCTTTAGGAATAGTTTCATGTTCTCTTCTTTGAATTGAACGACTAACACTTTGAATTGTACCCCAAAAATCTTAAATGCAAATTGAAAGAGGAAATTTTACTTACAGTTTATGACAAGTGAAATGGTGTCGCTACTTCTTATGTCAACTAAGTTAGAGGCAGAACAAATGTATGTTCCAGTATCATTCGCTGTTACGTTTAAAATGATTAGAGATGGTGATTCAACATTCCCGCCACTATATAAATTAGCACTGTCGTCTGGATCAATCATCGATACAGAACCGCCTACGTTTTTCTTCCAAATGACATCTGTGAGGGGTA